GAGACATACGGGGAGGCGCACGCGGGGCCCCACCACCACATCTGGACCAACGCCGAACACAAGGAGTTTTTCGGGCTGAATGCAGTGGGAACCTTCGAGGAGGTCGGGGCGGAATAGCAGCGAGGGACGAACGTCATCTCCGCCAAGTGGGTGTATTCATGGAAGGGAGACGAGTTTGGGTATGCTGTGCGTGCTAAGGCTAGGTTGGTAGCCCGTGGGTTTGCGCAGCGTGAGGGTGTTGACTTCTTTGAGACTTTCTCCCCGTGTCCTTCCATCACGAGCATTCGATTGCTAGCCGCCATTGCCTGTGTGTTAGATTGGGACTTGTGCCATTTCGATGCCGAGCAAGCCTTTGTCCAATCAGAACTGGATGAGGTCGTGTTCATTCGTCTTTCCCCTGGGTGCGGTGCGCGTTCCGGTAAGGTCGTACGGTTGAGACGGAGTCTATACGGTCTGAAGCAGGCGTCCCGCACATGGCATCATCACTTGATGCGTGGCATGAAGAGTCTTGGTTTCGAGCCTTGTGCCGCCGATGCGTGTGTGATGCGTCTGATCGAGAGCGGTGTAGTCACCATGGTGGTTGTGATCCACGTAGACGACATCTTCTCTATCGGGCTCAAGAGCAGGTGCGATCAGTTTGGTGTTGACCTCAACCGGTATGTGCCCATTTCCAACCTTGGGGAACTGCGCTGGTATGCGGGTTGCCGGTTTTCTCGTGACACGGTGTTGGGGACGGTGACTATTTCGCAACAGGCTGTAGCGGAGAAGATCGTTGCCAAGTTCGGTGTGACGACGGACAAAGAGACACCTATGGTCGTTGGGTTGAAGCTTGAGCAGTACGACGCCGACGAGCCCGATGTCGACGAGCCTTTCCGGTCGCTCGTGGGACACTTGATGTGGCTGGCGAATCGAATCAGACTCGCTCGGATATTCTCAACGCGGTACGTGCCGTTGCGAGGTATTCGCACGCGCCGAAGCGACTGCACTGGGAGGCGGCTTTGCATGTTTTGATGTATATTAGATTCACGAGCGGGTACGGGATTACGTTTCAGAGTGGCACGGTGGGAGGAGACCACATGGAACTTTTTGTCGATTCGGACTTCGCCAACAAGGCAACCGACCGGCGGTCTGTTTCTGGGGCACTAGTGATGTTCGCTGGTGCGTGTGTGATGTATCTGTGTAGGACGCAGAAGAGCGTCACCCTGTCTTCGACGGAAGCGGAGTACGTGGCGATGTCTGATGGGATGAAGGAGGCTATTTTTCTGCGGTATCTGTGGAAGTTTATCTTTCCGGGCCGTGATGTGGGGTGCACGCCGGTGTGGGAGGACAACGTAGGCGCTATTCACTTGGCAAGTAACCCGGCTACTACTCCCAACTCGAAGCACATCGACATCCGCCACCATTTCATCCGTGAGCGTGTAGCACGGGGGGAGTTCAAGGTAGTCCACGTACGGTCGGACCTGCAACGCGCGGATTTCTTGACCAAACCGCTCCCCAAGGAGACTTTTTGCGCGCATCGTGACTTCGTGATGAATATTCGTTGATTTTGTTCTTGGTGTTGCACTATTTCAGCGATGGGGCCTTTCTTGCACCATGTGTTTTATTTGTGACCTGGTACTGGCCTTTGATCTGCTGCTCGATGTTGATTTCTGCTTTCGCGATGGATGGGATAGTTCTGCGTGAGAATCATGGGGGGGGAAGTATTGTTCCATGATCCTAGTCGCAGGTGGTTTGTCTTGGTTTTGATTTTTTTCGGGATGAATGATGCAGCAGGGGGGCTGTTGGATTGATTGATTGATTTGATTTTGACTTCATGTTCAGGATGGAATGGATGTTACAGCAGGGGGGCTGGTGGAGTGGTTTCTTTGTCAAGGTATTGGATGTCGGAGAGAGGGTTTGGCATGTTCTTGTAGTTTGAACTGGCCATTGAGTTGAAACATGAATATTTATCTGAGGAATGAATTTGTTCTGAGTAGTCAGGACGTAAGACACGTTTTCCCGGAGTTACCCGTCTTCCCCGTTCTGACGTGATTCTGATGTAATGTTGATATTTTTGCTGGGTATTTTTCCAAGGGTGATTGTTCGTGTTTTACCTGCTTGGGAATTGGGTAGAGCACTTTTCTTGAGAGGGTGATTTGTTTTTCTTGANTTTTCCAAGGGTGATTGTTCGTGTTTTGACTGCTTGAGAATTGGGTAGAGCACTTTTCTCGAGAGGGTGATTTATTTTTCTTGACAGACCTTTTAGGGGTAGAAGTTTGACATCACAAGGCTTGAAAGCTTTGCAGGACGTGTTCTGTTGGAAGATCCGGCGATTTCGTGGGACATGTTCTATTGGCAGAGTCGTTTGGATTGGAATGGTGAATGATTTATTGTTAGCATAGTCTAGGGGTTTTGGTTTTTCTGTCTGCCGTTTTGTCTGGCAGTGATAGTCGTGTCGGGGGTTTCGTAGATAGCATCTCGTACCGAGCAGGGGGGCTGTTTGGCGTGCTCGGCAGAGTATACTGTCTACGGGGCCTCCGGGGGGGGGTACGCGGATGGAATGTATTGGCGGACATGCTGCATGGCGATGGTGTGGCCTACCGCATGTCTCGTACTCTCTAAGCAACAAGGTCTTGAGTCAACCTTCTTTCTCTTTCGGCCTCTGACGAGCTACCGCACCCAAACAAGTAGCCATGTGTGGTGCAAAACGTACCATGATTTTTGGGGGGGACACTGGGATGCTGAGGGACGTGTGATTGCTCTGTTGTTGTAGATTCACATGTAGTTTATTTAGACTATGGGCTGCAACGCTTCAACAGACAGATTCGATGGAATGCATGTGGTGAGCAAAAGAGCAAAAAGTAGGGAGAGCAGCAGCAATAACATTGTCTATGCTCAATCAATCTATCTGTGGTCGGGGTGCAGTTCCACATGAGATAGCCCCAGAAACGAGACATGACGATGGTAGAGAGGGAGATGTTACAAAAATTATTGTGGTGGCGAGACATTGACGGCCACCACAATAATAGCCAAAACACGCAATAACTACTGCTGTCGATTATATTGTACCTGGGAGGCCTATTTGGAAAAATAATACACACACACAGGCCTACAATTGTGTACCTGCAATGTGGAAGACCCCTTCAATGTGGAACGATTCCTAGTCAGTGTCGATGTTTACACTGATATGTCTAACACAGATGATCTGGATAGATTCGGGTGATTAAACTGGCTGACATGCCTGAAGGACGACATGAAGATGTTCGAAGCCAGGTACGGCTCCACGACCGACAAGCCGAGCGTCTTCGGAGTCCCGAAGTTAGTCTGGAGTGAGGCGGCGAAGGTGGAGGGGGGGGTACCGTGGCACGCGGGGGTGCTACAGGGAGCTGAGAGGTTCATGGCCTCTTGGCACAAGGGCAAGGAGGAGGCCAGCCGACAACGAGCCATCAAACGAGGAGACAGCGGGCCCAAAAATAGTCTAGATACGGCACCAATCAACGGGGCGGTAGGGGGGCGGAAGGAAACGGCGCGGCGGGAAGAAAGCAAGCGAGAAGAGACCGACCGCGTGACGTGACATGTTGCGGTCGAATTTCA